TGGGAAATTTCGTCAAAATTTTCAGACGGATTTAAATCCATCGGAAATTTCGGACGGGTTTAAATTCATCGAAAATTTCGTCGGAAATTCCATCATTTAAAAATCCGTCGGAAATTCCGTCGGAAATTTCCCACGGATCTAAATCCGTGGGAAATTTTCGACGAATTTTTGTCCGTGGGAAATTATCTGTGGAAAATTTAACTTTTTCTTGTAGATGTCATTAGGCGCCATTTATGTCGATTTTCTCAAGCGTCTTCTTCTAGGCATGGTCGTGGCTAGGTTAGGCACGAGAATACTAGAAGGGTCTTTGATCCCTAGGCACTAAGTGTGGAAGGTGCTAGAGAGGTCTCTTATCTCTTGATGCTAGGCACAGGTGATGATGCAACAAGTGTGATAATAAAGATTGTGAAATACAAGAGAGAGAGAGTGAGAGATAGAGAGAGAGAGAGAGTGAGAGACCTTAGCCTTAAGTATTGAATTTGAGAGTGTTTATAATACTTGTATTAATAATTAAAGGAGAGAAAAAAGTGAGCAAGAGGTATAGTTATGTAATTGGAGAAAAGAAATGAGATTAATAATTATTGAGAGATGAGATATTATAAGAGATTATGACACATGGTAGTATGAGATATATGATACGAGATGTGATATAAGATGATGATGCATGATATGAGAAAGTCTAAGCAAAGGCTTGACAACAAGAAATCCAAGTGAAGTTTGGTCATTTGAGAAGTCCGAACACAAAGGTCTAATAGTATGATGGAGAGGTATAATGATGCTATGTGCATTTGTTTGTTGTGTGTTGTGTTTCTATGTGGGAGAGTTTCTATGGTCTTTTATCTTGACCCCTCTAATATTGTAGGGAAGTAACCACAACCAATTGTGATATCTCGACTGACTCTTGATAGAAATTATTCTAGTGAGAATGAACCATGAGATAGGTGCCCATTGTATGGTGACCTTTGTGATTTTTCCATGTGCTCCTATATTGCTTCATCTACAAGCACCTTGTGTGATTATTGAGAATGATACCACATTCATATAAAATTAAGAACATATAGGTTTGCATGAGTCCTTTGCTTCATGATTTTCTTTTTTCTTTGGGTTAACGTTATTTTTAAGAGTTGGTGAAATAGTTGAGTTTGAGAAAATGAGAAATAAAGTTTAGGCTTTTGTTTTATGTTTTAATGAGATTTTTCTTATTAGTATGACATCATGGCTTAAGGATTATAGTTTATGTTCTTTTTCTTTCTTTTTTTTTCTTCTAAGAATCATATTTTTGGACTTAGAGTTTCTTTTACCATATATGCTTTGTTTTTATTAAATTTCCTTTAAAAACTTGTAAAGACGGATGTGCTTTTTTATTTCCTTTTTCTATAACTTATTTACTATTAAAATAAACTGAGTTTTTAATTTAGTGAAAGAAAAGATGAGAATCTATTTACCTTGAATGAAAAAAGAGATTTTAATTCCAAAGAACATTTTTTTTATTATTATATTATATTAAAACATTTTGTGTAGAAGGATTTCAAACTAAGGTTTTATGTTTTGGTTTTATATTACATATTTCTATATAAAATCATTTAAATGATAAAAAAAATACAAAAATATAAATATTTATAATTTTAACTTTTAAAAATTTTAAAAAAAACTTTAGTTTATAATATTTTATAATAATTTACACAAAAACTATATATACTTTGATGAATGAATATACAAGGAAAAATGCTCAAATTTTATATTATTATAATAATAATGCTGCTTAAACTAGCTTTAAAAAAATGTTAATCCGATAGATTATCGTAGTAGTTAAACATGACATGCTCATATGTTGTGGTGACCAGAGATGAACCAAAAAAATTTCTTAGAAAAGGACAAAAATTTAAAGCATGAATCAACAATGATTTATAGCTAAATTATTTTCATATATAAACTAATTTTTCCACTAATTTAAAAAATAATTTGAAACCTAACATAAAAATTTAAAAAGCTAGTATATTTGAAAACGATAAATGCAATTAAAACTATACAAATAAAATAAAATATAATTAAAAGAAATGAATGGACAATTGCTAAAACTGTATAACAAATGAAATAATTAGTGATGTTATAATTGATATAAGAAAATAAAATAATTCATATAATAATTAATATATAACTAAAAACAATTAACATAAAACAAAATAACTTAATTATAGCTAAAGTTAATATAAACAATTAAAAGTAATTATATCAATTAATATATACTTTATCTATGTAATATATAAAGTTATTGATATAAATAAAATCTTTAATATATATATATATATATAGAGGTAATTATGAACCATCATTATCATAATTAAGTCTATCATTTTTGTTCTTATCTTTGTTATTAGAATCTTTCCTACCACTATCTACACTGCAATGCTATTACATTATCATTGTTGATGTTATCACTATCATCGTCATTGTCTTTTCTACCACTATCATTATTGTCACCACTATTGTTATTATTATTACCACCGCTACTGTTAACAATTGTGATAGTGATAGTAGTTTTAGTGGTTACAGGGGTGGCAAAATAGGCCGGTCCGGGCCAGCCCGCCAATGATAAACGGGCTGGAAATGCTGGCCCGCCCTGCCTAAGAGTGGGTTGGCGGGCCGGCGGGCCAGCCCGCATAGTCAAAAAAAAAAATTGCAGAAAAATGAAAAAAAAATATTTTATGTTTAAATAAACAACTTCTATCTCTTTTCATTTTTAATTAGTTAATCTATAATATCTGCATGAATCGTTTAGTTTAATTAGTCTATGCAAGAATGTATGCATTGGCCACAAAAATGAATCACATAAAAAGTTATGTTATATATATATATATATATATATTGCATGGAGAAGTGTAAAATTATGGCAGTGTGAAATACATCAGAATCAAGGTAAAATCTGCGTGAACTCAATTGCCAATTGATTTAAGCTATGCAATCTTGCTTCTGCTTTACTGCTGAAAAAAAAAAGAATTAACTTTGCAAAGCAAGCTACATGCATGTAAGGATATGGGTGTGATGGGAAAGCGAAAGGTGCTCTTCGGTGTGATGGCTAGAAATGTTCCCAATCTCTTTACCTGTTGGGCCTGATTTTTTTATATTTTTATATAAAGCCCATTATTTATACGGAAGCCTAATCATGGAATTACTTATGCGGGTTGGCGGGCTGTAACAGGTCAGCCCGCTATTTGCGCCGCCAGATTGGCAGGCTTGGCGGGACGGGCTTGGCAGGTTGACGGACTGAAATGATGGGCCCGACCCGCCAATTTTTGGTGGACTAACAGGCCGGTCTGCAGGCCACGACCCATTTTGCCATCCCTAAGTGGTTATGTAATGATAGTAGAAGTGTAGTATAGGTGAAACAATAAAGTTAATAATAATAATAAATATATAAAAACAATTATCATAATAGTAATATGTGATAATTTTATATATAATTTTTTAATTTAAATTATTTATCTTAATCTAAAAATTATTATTAATTACTCTCATATTCACTTGAGTGGTTTCATATTATATTATATTATATTATATATATATATATAATATAATATAATCATATTACTAGTTATTTTAAGTTTTTAACATGAAAGCAAGATTATTATATTATAGTAGTGTTTTATAAGGGGCAGAAGTTAAAAGAGGTTTGAGAATTTAGGGTAGCAAAAAACTATTTAGCAAGAATCTCATGTTCAACGTATGCAAAAATCATTCAAATTAACGACTGCTTACAATAACATTAATATGATTAAATTTAGCCCAATAAATCGTGAGTATAAAAGAACTGTTTATTTTATTAAAAAAATAATAATAAACAAAGAGAGCATAAAGTTGGTGACGTTGACATATTGACTTAGCAATGTGGGTGAGTGAGTGAGTGAAGCCCTTACTTGGGCACCAAGATTCGTTCTGGTCATGTTTGGTTTCCCTCAAATAAGCGTGGTCGTCCTTTGAATTTCGTCCCACTTTTTTCAAAACCCTCTCTGCTCTATTTTTCCACTCATAAATTATAATAATATTCATTCCAAAACCTCACCCACCGGAAAACCAAATAAAGAAACTCATAAAGTGTCGTCTCTCAACTTTTCTCTCCAATGGAGGCGGAGGGTTTCGATAATTCTCAGACCAAGAAACGTAAAAAGGGCTTTTCAAGGAAGCTTAATGCCGGTCAAAAAGTGGAGGTAATGTCGATTCTTTTATCATCACGTCAAAAAGAATCATTTTTTTGGATGCCCTATTGCTGCATGATGATTTTTATTGCTTTTCTATGTATGTGCATGTGTTTTCTATTTTTGGTTTTGGTTGGTTACTTTTTCATGATCGGTTACTACTATGTTGTTTGAGGTTTTTTAGGTATATTACCTAGTGCACTGTCGCTTTCCTTATTGCATTCCCTTTTTCGCGGTTTGATCATCGATGTGCCCTACATTGTCACTGTTCGCTAGTTCATGCAGAGTGTTTTGATTTGTGGCTTTGTTTGTTTTCTGCTAACGTAATTCGGTGTCGTTTTTGGTTTGCAATGTTCGTTGTTTTTTCATAATGATCACACTTGCTTTAGTAGTAGTGATCATGCGTGAGTGATTTTTTTCTTTTTTTGAAATTTTGCAGGTGAGGAGTTTAGAGGTGGGTTTTGAGGGATCATGGCACCCTGCGACAGTTCTCCAATGCGAGAAGTTGAAGCGCCGCGTCATATATGATAGTGTTTTGGATGATAATGGGGTGGATTATCTTGAGGAGGTAGTGAGTGTTTCAAAAGCTTTGGATGGTGATGTTGAAAAGGCAAACTTCTACGAGCGTGGGATCATTAGGCCGGTGCCTCCATTGGTTGATTTTCAGAAAGCGGACCTTAGGTTTGGTCTTTGTGTTGATGTCAACCATGAGGAAGCTTGGTGGGAAGGTGTTATATTTGACCACTATAATGGAATGACGAAGAGGAATGTGTTTTTCCCTGATTTGGGTGATGAAATACAAGCTGAAATGCATCAGATGCGGATTACTCAGGACTGGGATGAAGTTACAGAGGAGTGGGGGCGGCGAGGGAAGTGGGTGTTTCTTGAATTGGTTGAGGAGCAGAAGGGGAAATTGTTTGTTGCAGTTTCAGCTAAGCAAATTTGGTATGATGTGCGCATAAAGAGGGAATTTGAGATGATTAGAGAGTGGACATGTAATGTGGAGTACTTGTGGAGAAAAATGGTGGTGGAGGTAGTTAATGACTACTTATCTGTGATGGTAAAAGAAGTTATCTCAGCCTTAAACCTTCCAGGGAGTTTATTAAATGAAGCACAAGAGCCGGAATCTGCTGAAGCTGTGGCTGGTGTTGACTTAAATACGACCTTGCCTGATAAGGAAACTCATGTCAAAGAGATCTTACCTGAGTTTCTAAAAGAAATTGGCCCCAATGGTGGTGCTTGTGAAGTGGTTTCAGGTGCTAACTGTTTTGAAGAAATGACAACTTCCGACTGTTGGATACCTGTGAAGTTCTCTGAAGTTGAATTCTGCCCCGATGCTGTCATTGAATATCCACTGGCTTCCAAACGTGCAACTAAGGCATTTTGGATGGAACGATTGCAAAAACATCTTGTGTATCTTGGATGGAAAATTGAGTGGACAAATAAACTTGGCGTTAAACGCTATAGGTATCATGATAAACCAGGCCATAAACGTTACCTTTCACTCCTTGAAGTTTGTAAGGTTATGAAAAACAACCCTAACTCCTTGCAGTTCCAAAATGATCAGAGTATAATGCAGCATCCTGCAGTTGACTGTCATCTTTTAGAGGTGCCTCTTAATCCATCAGAAAATATTTCAACTGTGCCATTTTCTCCTGTTGAAGATGGAGTTGAAGATGAACCTGAGTTTTGTCCTCAAGCTGTTTTGCAATATTATTCTGCCCATATATCCAATAAGAATCGGGTTGATAAAAAAAAATGGATACCGAAAGCAAAGAAGCATCTGTTAGCAGAAGGATGGGTTTTTGACTATCCACCTCCAAATAATAAGAAAAGGGGAATAATATACATGTCTCCACAAAATCAGAAATTCCCAACACTCCATGCAGCATGCCGATTTTGTATCACAAAAAATACTCCTAAATGGGCTATGTCTGGCAATCAACCTTTAAATGTCTCAGGCATGAATGAGGAAAATGTTGATCAGCTACCCCAGTTGCTTCCAAAAGACGCTGAGTTGCAGGCTATGGATGGTGCTGCTGCTAGTAGATCAAGTGCAATTCGTAAGCGGAAAAGCTTGAGGGATTCAAAGGCCAACATACCTAACTGCCAAAGCAATGGATTGCCTCTATGGGTGCTAAGATCAAAGAAGAGGGTGCAAAAGGTGCCTGCCCCTTCTTTTTTACAGCAAAAACCTATAAATGTTCTGTCTTGGTTGATAGACAGCAACCTCATCTTACCAAGGTCGAAGGTTTACTATAAGGAAAAAGGCAGGTATCGTGCAGTCCGTACATTGGGTGAAGGTAAAATAACTCGTGATGGAATTAAGTGTAATTGTTGCATGAAGATATTCAGTTTTGTTGGCTTTGAAAATCATGTTGGTGGCAGTAGTACCTGCAGACCCTCTGCTAGTATCTTTTTGGAAGATGGTAGATCACTCTTGGATTGCCAGATAGAAATGATGCAAGATCATAACACAAGGGAAACTAGCGGAAAGTCCCTCAGTGAATTGTCTATAGCTGAGAATGACTACATTTGTTCTGTTTGCCACTATGGCGGTGAACTTATTTTATGTGATAAATGTCCATCTTCTTTTCATAAGACGTGTCTCGGTTTGGAGGTATATTAACCATTTTCTTTCTCAATCATGCTGTATTTGGTGCTATCTTGTTTGTTTACTTATTATATGACTTAAATTGGGTACATTGATACCAATAATTGGTCTTGGATCTGAGTTGGTTCCTTCAGCTTTTTTTTCCCCTTCTTTATAGGAAATACCTGATGGTGACTGGTTTTGTCCATCTTGTCGCTGCGGGATTTGTGGCCAAAGTAAAATTGATGGAGATGAGGTTGGACATTCCCTAACTTGCATTCAGTGTGAACATAGATGTAAGTAAGCTACCCTATATCTTTACTTTAATATTTCATCCATGCCTGAACATCTTGAGTGTGTATTTGTCTGCATATGTAAATCTGGTGTCATCTTTGTCAAACTCGTGTAGATCATGTTTGGTGCCTGAAAGATGGAGCTGTAGATATATCGGGATATCGCGGAAACTGTTTCTGTGGAAAAGACTGTGAAAAGGTACATTGCATCCAACTCCTTTATTTCTTCTTTTTTTAGCCATAATCTGCATGAAAAAAATATTATTCCTATTTGTTTGCCTTCAAGCTTTTTGTTTGTGATTTGATGAAAAATAGGAGTCTCCATGATCATTTGTTTGGTTCTAATGGGGTGAAACTTAGTTGGTCAATCAATCAGCAGATTGCTCTAGGCATGGCTACGGGGTTGGCTTATTTGCATTATGAGGCTGAGCCCGCCATTTTCTATTTTTAATTTAAAAGATTGGATGAGTGCAAACAGCAGAGATAATATTTGGTTTTCATTGGCTGTGGCTGTTGGCTGTGAATAGGAACAACATTATCATTTCCATCTTAGCTTGAGAATCATGTAGCATCAATAGATGCTCTTTTGTTTAAGGTTTTTTTTTTCTTCTCTTTTTTAAATTTCTGCTTAAAAAGCCAAGCCAGGTGCACATTTATTCTTCTTACACTCGTTGGAATCATTATTTTATATTTTTAACATCTGTTTATTGAAACAGAATTATATTTAATGTGATTTTGGTCAATAGTTACTCATGAGATTTCATAGAATTAGTGATGTTTGATTTTGGTGATTTTACATGTTATGACTTGACAAACAGATAAGATATATGTTTTGTGCAACAGAAACATTTTTGGGTTGAGTGTCTTAATTGAGTGAGGGTCTTTTAGTACAGTGGTTCTACTTTACATTTTGGTTTCTATTTTTTGCAGATATATGAGGGCCTTCATAAATTATTAGGAAAACCAATTTCAGTGGGTGCGGACAAGCTAACTTGGACCTTGGTGAAGTTCATCGACCCTGATCATTGTGACATTGGTAGCATTAAAAGTGACTTATTGGCAGAAAGTTACAGCAAACTCAATCTGGCTCTTTCGGTGATGCACGAGTGTTTTAAGCCCCTAAAGGAATCTTTGACTAGCAGAGATCTCGTGGAAGATGTTATATTCAGCAAATGGTCAGAAATTTTTATCCTTCAAGATATGATCATTAATGTTCTATTGTTGCTTGTTGTATTTGTTATATACTAATGGATTTGTTTACATCTACCTTATTTACTTTGTCCATAATCATGATATCTGTGCTTCAGAACATTTCAGGTCAGAGCTAAACCGATTAAATTTCCAGGGTTTCTATACTGTGCTACTTGAGAGAAATGAAGAACTGATCAGTGTTGCAACTGTTAGGTGAGTATAGGATCTTTTACTATCAAGTATTAGGCTTTGCTTGATTGTATGAATACATGTTCTATTTGAGTTGTTTTTTATGTTTTGTCATGTTGCGGATGGTCATATTTCATTTGCTATGTCAATTTGTTAGGGTCTATGGGAAGAAGGTAGCAGAAGTACCTCTTGTTGGTACCAGATTACAATATCGTCGACATGGAATGTGCCATATCTTAATAAATGAGCTTGAAAAGGTAATCCACAAAACACACATTTGTCCTTTTTTATTCTCTTTTACCTTAGTTGTAAGCCTTCTTTTTGCCAATAATTAGTATAGTATACCACTATAACTGCTCGGCAGGCACCCCTATAAATGGTATATGATAGCTGCACTGTAGACGCGAGCTTCTCACCTTTCTAATATATGTACTTTTGGGCAATAACTCATAAATTATGGTAAGGCATATGGAGTGGAGTAATTTGCCTGAGTTCAAAAGATATTCTCCAATCATACATAACTTATATGCACGTTTTGTTCTCTCCAACCAACCTTAATGTCTTGATCATTCTTCAAATTGGAATTTGTATTAGTACATTTTGTTTTTCTATATTTAGATCAATTCCTATGATGACTATTTTGTTTCACAATAGTAAATATCCTAGGTTGTTGATTTGTTAAATTTGGTATCTTACTTTTTTCTTAAGATAAAGTCCTATTGTTAAAGTCATTTTTGAAGTTATTACTTTCTAACTTGTTACTTTTCTTTCTTCAGAAGCTCACACAATTAGGTGTGGAGAGGCTTGTTTTGCCTGCTGTTCCTAGTGTGCTAGAAACATGGACGGGCTCTTTTGGCTTCGCAAAGATGACTAATTTTGAGAGATCTCAATTTCTGGACTATACTTTCCTAGATTTTCAGGGTACCATCATGTGCCAGAAGCTGTTGACAAATATTCCACCTCGAGATTTAGTTTTGTTAATAGGTCCGTAATTATTTTTATAATTATTTCTATTTGTTTTTGTAAATTGTCAAGGAAGAGACAATTATTTAAGTTTGTGCCACACAAAGAGGATTATAACTTTAATGTTTTCATTTGCAGAATCACAACCAAAATGTGATGTATACCAAGTAGAAGAGATTGATGAAGGAAGGATAGTGGATCAACAAATAGAGTAAAGTCTAACTTCTGTCTATTTAATCCCAATCATATGAGGAAACAAAAATATAATGAAATTAAATGCTCTCTCTCTCTCTCTCTCTCTCTCTCTCTGTATATGTATATATATATATATAAAATGCGTGTATATGAATATATATATATATATATATATATATATATATATATATATTGACACCAGGAGTCACACTTCTACACTTGTAACACTTACTAATTTTTATAGAATATTATTGAAATTAGGAAGTTCAATTGCTATCAAATTAAGTTCATCTTTCTGGTCGTTCCTTTGTAAAGATTATTTTGTCTGTATTAATGTTCATGTTGATCTACTTGGAGGTATGTGATTCACATGTTAAACCATTTATTAATAATTAAACTGGGTTTTGGTGATGTGATTAATGTCTTGATGTCTCAGTGGATGTCTTGGGGATTCTATGTAGTATGTATGTATGCTGCTACTAAATAATAAACTTATTAAATGGCGGGTGAGACCAGTTAATGAATGATGCATCATTTGGAAAAAAAAAAAAAAAAAGAATTCAAAATAGATTTCTATTCTCGTCATACAAGAGTCATGCTTAATCAATCTCATAGTAAAATACTGTGGATACTTTTACCTCATCAAAACTGCAGAGATTTTATGTTGAGAAGTGATGACGTATTTTTTTTTTTTGTCCAGATCCTGTGCATGCGACAATGGCCATGCTATTGGTGCTATTGACCCGATCACTGTGGTACTTTCTTTTTCCAACTGTTTTAATGAGTTACGCTTTGTTTCTTGTTTCAGTTAAGACGTTAATAATTAATTTTTTCTTAGGTGGAGCAACCGAGTTCTGGGAATCAAGAGTGCCAGAATGAAACAAGCAGATCACAGGGCTCTGTTGATAAACAAGTTGACCCGTACAAGTTCTTCTATACACGAAGGAAAAGGAAGAAGACATGTGAAGAGGAATCAAGATGATTCATTCTTCTTCTGAACACACGACATGAGAAGTAGAATTTTTGTGCAAAGCATGAATCACTTAACTTGATAATTTTTTGTACAAAGACTACTTTTGTTACAACCTTGTTCAATTATACTTTTGTCTTCATCTGTTTTTGTAAAATAGAAATGATAAATTTGAGTGAGGTCACTTAACTGATTTATTTTGTTATGTTCATATTAATATTGATTAACGGACCAAGACAAAGTGGAGCGTTGATGCACGTGACAAGGTTGTGGACACGAAAGTTTACTTTGGGCCTTGCTTCCAAGGAGAGGTGGAGCATGTTTATATTGTAATGTAATGTTCCTCCCCTGCATCGAATGCTTGGAATAGTAGTTGCTGCTCAACTTTACTAAAATATATCATTGTGGGTTTTCAAATTGTTATTTTCTGTTCAATTATTTAGGATTCTCCAATGCATATACACTTCGCTATAATCCCCATCTTCTTATTCCTGCACCAAGTGTCGTATGGGCAAAGGTGAATAAATCTTGGAAGAAAATATTACGGCATGAGAACGGAGGAGGGAGAAAATAAAGAAAGAAAAGAGAAAATAATAATAATGTAAAGAGGATATATAATAAGATTGTATGAGATAAATATGATAGTTTATAATAATGATTCACCATATTCCACTTGTTAGACTCGATCACCATAACCCTTATTAGAGATACATAAAATTAGAAATGAAGGTAGCTTATGAGTGATTTTTTCTTTTTTTGAAAATTAAGTATACATGGACTCCATGCAAGAAGATGAAGATGACATCCAAGTTACTGCAAGATTTAAAAGGTCATCATCATTATCTTCAAGTGAAGTCACTTTTATTACTTTCAAGAAAGAGCCACAAATGCTCTATTTATAAGGAATGCAAATGCTTCTAAGTATAATAAAATTGATGAGAAGGTGTTTGGACTTTTAAATAATTTTGAACCAAAATTAACTCAACTCAACTTATTTTTAGTCTTAATGCTGATGTTAAATGAGTTGATTTTTTTTTATGATGTTTTAACTTATTAATTGCTTTGTTACCATTAACATGGTGATATAAAATTTTAATCAAAATGTCTTTATTAACAATTATTCAGAGCAATTTTTCCCTCAAATATAAAAAGTTATTCTAAAACATTTGTTAGTAGACGATTAATCATGTACTCCAAGTGTCAGTATGATATTGTGAGTCTTAAGCAACTATATATTATTTTTCAAAGTGACCATGCGATATTGCGAGTCTTTGAGTAACTATATATTATTTTTCAAATATTTTAACTATGCAATATTTTAAAAAAAGAAATTAATTTAAATATAATGGAAATATTTTTTTGATAACGTAAACAATTACCCAATCTTAAATATGTATTGAATAACCCGTGTAATGCATGGTAATAACTAGATCGAAAGATTAAAAAAATTATACCGAGGAACTTGAGCAATTGGCTTTAAGTTAATTCGCCTCAATAAAACATTGTTTGTAGTTATAATTTTTATATATGTTAATTAATTTTTGTTCATTTTTTTTTTGAAAATTATTCATTGCAGTTAATATAAGATCTTAAATTACAATGATAATTATAATTTAGTGTGTTTAGACCGATAGTCATTTGAATTTATCGTAATGTTTAGAATGAACAAGTAATTGCTTTTTATAATGATCTGATAATGATTTTATGTATGTTGCTTTCAAAAATCTCATCGAGTTGAATCCATTACCAATCCAAACACAACGGATATCCCCTTAAATTTTCAGCCAGAAGACCATAATGATCTATATATTATAGTTATGTGAATATAAGGTAAGAAAAGCAAAGAACATATGCTTTATCAAAATTGTGTTCTTTCATGGGAAGGGGAAAAAGGTTCTTCTTTCTCAGAAAGGGGCAAACCAACTTTTTTGGCTTATACATGCTCTCATATATTAGCAAATATTCTTCTCATGACTCCTTTTCCAAATACAAGTTAGGATTCTTACACAATAGAGATACTAACCCTACAAACACAATGCCACCAAGTTCTATTTGGGAAGGGAAGCATCCACAAATCCCCACCCTCTTACCCACCTATGTTACCTTTGGTGACTTTACTTCTAAGGTTTTACTTGAGGTGACACTCTTTGTTCATCTAAGATTATTCAGTGGTTATAAACTAGAATTTAATTAGAATACATTTAGTGTCTGATTGCTTGAGCTAATTTTGGAGAATTAATCTTTTCTCTTTGCTAGTTTTTAGAAAGGGCTTTTGGTTTATTAAAAAAAATTACATTAAAATTTTGTATGTCAATTTTTGAATTCGTTATTGTGCCTATTATATTACTATTTTAATTTTTTTCTTAACATTTCTCCCATTAACTAAGAGATCTAACTTACTTAACTAATGTACGTGAGTTATTGTAAATTTTTATATTAAATGTCATTTATATATATATCAAGAGAGATTTATTTATTTTAAGAGTAAGTTTATTTAAACTTATTTTATTCAATAATTTATGTTTTATATCAAATTTTAATGATCTAATCATTAAATTTAAAGTTTTAATGTATAAATCAAGTTTGTAAATTTAAAAAAAAATTAAAAATTATTTGATATTTCGTTTCATTAATTCAATTCAACGTATAAAATATTTTTATAATTATTTATTAATTTAAATTAATAAAAAAATTATTAATTAATTTTCAAATTTTTTAAAAATTTATAAATTTGATGGATGAATATATTACTTAATATGTTTTTACATATCGATATGAACTCCAATACTGTTTTTACAAAATATGTTTAATTTCTCACGAGTTTGAATAATTCAGTTTTATCTTTCTTTTTCTTTCTATATTATTAATTATTATATAATATTAAGTTGGTGTGGTAATTAATATTGAATGGTTGGATCAAATTTACAATTTTTTAAATTAAAAAATTAAAAAATAGGAAAACAAAATTACAGAAATTTTATCAAAGAATAAAAATATAATTTAAATTATTAATTATTAATAATCAATAAAATAATATTAAAAAAATATAGATGATATATTAATGAATAACCAGGTTCAATAATAGTATGCAATAAACACAAGTTGTAGTTGATGCACCCTCTTCTCTTTTCTATCTCACCTTGCCCTGGCCCTCAAGAAAACCTCCAATTACAACTTTGTAGGACCCACCCCAATCCCATTTGGCCTTTACATGACTCAAGTTTTCTCATCAAAGAATCTTCTTACATCTGACATGAAAAGTAAGTGACTTTTTTTGAAAAAAATAAAATAAAAATAAAACTACAGCTACAGCTACAGCTACTAAATCTTGTTCATATTACAACATACAGAGATAAGTTGTTTAGGATTCCAATATTAATTTTAATTATAAAATAGTCCATCTCAAAAAGATAATATTTATTTTGTGTATAGAGAAAGATTATTCATTGTTTGTGACTATAGATGCAAAACACTTGCTCTCTCTTTCTTCCCATGCTTGGGAGAATGAATAATCTTTCATAATTTTATTCATAGTTTCATGTTTGGAGGTCCAAGTTCAGCCACCCAAATATCAGATCCGCATTGCATGTATTGCACATACACCTAGCAATGAATTGGATGAAAATCATACAATTCAAATTTTACTTGCTTGTTTTAATTATAATTTATTGAGATAAAATATGAGTAAAGCCGATATTTATATTTTATGTTCAAAATATTCTCAAGTGAGCAAATGAGTTAAAATATAAATATGTACTAAAATTATCAACGTATGTTTGGATAAATTTTTTAAAAATACTTTAAAGAAAAAAACAAGAATAAAATTTAAAATAAATTTATTTATAAGTTAAAACTAGTTTATATATGTAATAATAAAAATAAAATTTTAAAAAAGTTAATATGATAAAACTGAATTAGAATTACTTATTCACACCGAGTCCAATCACTTATTTTTAATCTCCCTTTAACCATATATTTTAGAGCATGTTAGATTTTATATTGAATCATTATTGTTAAAATAAATTTAGATAAATGTTCATGCAATTAGTTTCATGTCAAATAATTTATTATAAGTTTGAAATTAATTACGAATTGATTTTTTTAAAATACTCATTTTGATGGATAAAAAGATTTATATTGTACTATTATTTCACAATTAATTTTTTTAAGAGGAAAACAAATTTTTAATTAAATTACACTCGATATAAAGTACAATATATAACCATACAAAACATAAAAAATATAAAGATTGTATAATAGAACAAATTACATGCTCTTAAACACGTCTAAATCTCAAATATATGTATCAAAACGTACATAACTTTTCACTATTATTTTTTTTATATAACAAGAATAAAACTTACACACATTATTGTAAATATTGTTAATATCATTTTTCAATTGAATTAGAATTTTATTTCAATAATATATATCATACTTTTTATTAAATATTAATATGCATTATTGAATTAAAATATTAATTTTGAAAAGAGAATAATTATTATAATACAACTTAAGTTTTATCCTTAAAATAAAATGAAAATCTAAAGTCAAGTATGGAAACATAAATTCATTTTTAGTTATTAATTTTAAAATATTATGTAAATTAATCTATATCATCTTAATTATATAAAAGGATACTTCTTTCATTAAGTGTTTTGTCTCCAATTTTATATAAATCATTTTACTCTCTTTTATTTTGCTAATAAATTTAAATTATTTTTTTCTTTCAATTTTTTTTTAATTTTTTTTTATCCTGTTTAAATAACTGCTCCTATAACTATTCATTTCATGATTTGTGTACTTTTTAATTTATTTAAATAAAAAAAAAAAGAGAAACAGGTGCTAACTTTTTTTAGTTCTAAATTTTTAATAATTAATAATAATAATAATTATTATTATTATTATTATTATTATAATAAATGTGCCCTCCATAACATAACCTTGTGTTCACATGCAGACAGCGAAACAAAAACCCTTGTCATTATTGTAATAGTTTTTTTGAGACAGCCCAAAAACCCCATCCTTTATATATTCAGATTTTTTCAAAACAGTCCAAACATCCTTCTTCCCTCTCCCTTTTTGTCTTCAACCTTTTCTCTCTTTCTCTAATGGCACTTGTTCTTCCCCAACCTCCCACTTCCACCTCCACCTTAACATACCTATTTCCTCTTCTTTTCATTCTTTCCCTCCAACACCACACAGCCTCTTGTGCCCTTCTACTAAGCCTAAGACACCACCACAACTTCCTCCACCAGCAGAAACCCATGATCCATGCCAACCAAACTAACTGTGCATTGTTTGCTGGAACCTGGGTTCAGGATGACTCTTACCCTCTTTATCAATCCTCTAACTGCCCCATCATAGATCCACAGTTCAACTGCAAAATGTTTGGACGCCCAGATTCTGATTACCTCAGATACAGATGGAGGCCCCTCAACTGTGAGCTCCCAAGGTACCCCTAAATGCTTCAAAGTATGAATTTTCTCATAAAGTCTGCATTTTTGTCATTTACAAGCTCAAAACAAACACTTGTGTCACAAAGTTGCCATTTTTGTCATTTACTCTACAGGGCATTTTTCTTCACAAAATGGGGTGTTAAGATGTGATTGATTTCTATCCTTAAAAAAAAAAAAAAAAAACTGTTTTCTTGGTTTTTTGCAATGTTACTAAACAAGGTTGGTTCAGACATCTGATGGAGGATGATGTAAGACACATTGAGAAAAGTAGAAAACATCTCTATGATGTTTATGTCATTTTGACTTTAAAACATTTATTTTGGATGAGTAATTGATTTTTGAGTAGTGTGAAATTGTTTTAGAAAATAGTTTTTTTTTTTTTTAAAGAGAATGAAATAGAACCTACTATTCTGTATTTCTATCTATGCTTCTAAATGGTTTTGTAGCATGTTCTTGGTAGGTTCAACGGGGAGGAGTTTCTGCTGCAAATGAAAGGAAAAACTGTGATGTTTGTGGGTGACTCACTTGGGCGCAACCAATGGCAGTCACTGATTTGTATGATATCTGCTGCAGTTCCTCAGACACAAACACAATTGGTCAGAGGAGAGCCTCTCACAAACTTCAGATTCTTGGTCAGTGTGAACGCTTTTAATTTCTTCTGAGAAATCATAACCATAATGTTCACTCACTTGACATTTAAACAAATTTTTAATTTTCCATTGAGATTTTAGATTTAGGCCATGACGATATCAATTATTTACCCCCTATTATTTCCTGGCAATTTTTGATTCACAAGGAAAGGGAAAGTAAGCGCTATGGTTTTGCAGCAGCAGAACAGTTTTGTGTCTTTGTTAGGGTTCATTGAAAATCAGGGGAGTAGGTTCAGGATATTTTCAATGTGGGACAAAGTATCTGTTCAAAAAGTTGCTGTGATAGGGACCCAAATGTACTATTAAGCCATTATTTGCATGGGCTAGTTGATGCAAACTGGAACACTAAATTATGTTCATGCTTTTATTTTCATAAAGTAGATTTGTGTGAAAACAGCATTTTACAGCTGCCAAGAAAAGAGGGTCCTGAGCTGACTGGGTTTTGGCATGGTGTGTGCAGGACTACGGTGTGACCATTTCATTTTACAGGGCTCCCTATTTGATGGAAATTGATGTGGTCCAAGGGAAGAGGATTCTGAGGCTGGAGGAGGTCGATGGGAATGGTGAAGTATGGAAGAGTGCTGATGTGCTTTCTTTTAACACTGGACATTGGTGGGAGCATATAGGGTCCCTTCAAGGGTAGGAAGCTCTCTCTTTCCTTTTATAACAAATAAAGTATATTAAGGATAAAAATGTTTAAGTTCCTTAAGATTTGGTTAAAATGGTGATTTTGGTTCTTGTATTTTTGAAAATGTAGTGGATTTCGTCATCATCAAGTCAAAATGACATATAGAGAGATAGATATGAAGAAATCCACCATTTTTAAAAAGTTTAATGATCATGTACTATTATTTTTAATAATTAAAAATTATTATTGGTAATTTATGATAACAATTTTACCATATATAGTCATTTGTGATCAAATAACAATATACAACTCGGTGAATAGTCAATTTTCTCTTTTTAAGATATAGGAAGTAAAACTAAATTTGACCTACCTAAAACACAATTTACCTAAATATTAAATATCCCCTCCAAAAGATGAATAACTTCACTTTTCTCTTTTTTCCTCTGTATTGTAAACTTTGAAGTAATTTGGTATTTGGGATATTAAGTGCAGGTGGGATTATATAGAATTAGGAGGCAAATACTACCCAGACATGGATCGTTTAGCAGCTTTGGAAAGGGGTATGAGAACATGGGCTAACTGGGTGGACACCAATATTGACAGAAGCAGAACCAAAGTGTTCTTCCTTGGAATTTCTCCTTCACATACCAAGTATGAACTCTCACTCTCTCTTTCTCTCTCTTACATTATTGTACTATAAGTCTGTAACATAGTGTGGTATGTCTACTCTCTTCATCATTGTGTTTGTTCGATTGGAATAACAATACATCGATAACATATAAATTTGCCTCCACCTGAGAGTTAATGGTTGGGAACCACTTTTCTTTTAATCCATTACTATTTATAATTTAGGGTCGGTTTTAGACAAATTTATCCATCCATAAGTACTTATAGGAAGTAAAAATGAAATAATATTCAATTATTCATCATAAACTAAACTAACTTATGTAAAAGTTAATAAGTTTTTGAAGAAATTATTATGAGAGTTTTTTACAAATTAGCTCACAATTACTTAAGGAAAAAATTTATCACATGGACCCTTACGATTTACAAGTAGAGTCTTGCTTGACTCTGGAGTTACCAATATTAGGGATGAAATTCCTTTGTCCTATCTCTATCAGTTTAGCAGACACATTTGCATTATTGGATAGTTACCTTAGGGCCTAGTGATGCCTCATATTTTGAGACTAGTCATTCTATAGCTAAGGAATAATTTTCCTAAAGTTTTGAATAATGCAGTCAGTACTATTAATCACAAATTTGAACATAATATCAACTATTAATTTTCTCGTCAACGTAAATTACTTAATTTTCTCTTTAAAATTGAGTTACTCGTTTTAGTGGAGCTGGATCCGCAGAAAATGTACCCTCTTGGCTAAAGATTTGGGGTTTAATGAATTGATACCTTGTGCACAATGCTTAAGAGTATACACTATAGGGACTATTCATAAAAATGCCTTTTTGTTATTTGCTCATTGTGTGATTAGTATTAATCAACTTTTCTTTAGTTTGTATAGTATATATGTATAACTAAACGTATTTTTCTGATTGATATAATCAAGGGAAAAAACTATGTATACATTTTTTAAAATAGTAAATGAAAAATTGGGGCTATAAAATTTGTGCAAAGGCACCTTTTTGTCGCTTTCGTGTCACATGTAGTGTAGTTGGCACTTTATGGCACTTCCACAATCCCATATTCCGATTCATTTGTTTTCCTCACGCAGGATCATGGTGATGCATGTTCTGAAAATTTTTCCTTTTTTTTTTTATTGTGTCGGTGAAATAAAACGCCTGCACCATCCTATTTTAATTGTATACTAAATACTTTTTGTACAAAAGAGTAAAGACTACTATTATTTTGTGTACGATAGGGGCTTGGTGGATGTGTGTTGCACCACATTTTTTAGTTAATGGCGTCATTTCTATTTTTTAACTGTTATTTTAAAATTACCCTTATTTAAAAAATGATTTTCTTTTTTTTTTATTTATTTTAAAATTTAATTCCAAAGCCCAAATTTTAGAGTAATAGTTAAAAAAATAAGGGATTGTGGTATGGTGCCATTTAAGAAGCAGTGATTTAAAAAGTAAGAATCTACACTCTAGAGACTTTAGAAAAAAATAAAGAAAAAGAATCTAGAGACTTTATTATATTTTAAATTGGATAGGCCAGTCCGTTAAGATGGTCTTGATCTGTAGCCCAATACAGATTATGTACTTTTGGGGCTTAATCACATCTTTTTGGGGCCCAAAATAACAAAAATCAGATTTGTACTTTTTGGTGCTTAACAATACAGATTTTTTTTATTGTACACCAAATAAAAATAACAAAAATCACACAACTATTCGACCAATATTGCTAATATTGTCCTTTTTCCTATGAAAGGCTTCAAGCAATTGCCGAAGGCCATAACGCCTAAGTTGAAAGTTTAGTTTTGGAATTAGATATTAAAAGAATTAGCTAACAAAAAGAGTTTAATCTTTTTAATCGTCACTAAAAAAGTTACCTAAACTTGATTGAGATAAATTATGTTAAAAGTTATATTGAATGAATTAGTAATAATATTTAGTATTAGTCATATTTATCAATATATCTTCTTTTTTAACAGCAATTATCAATATATCATTTAAGAGTTAGAACCGGTTGATTATAAAATTGACAATTTTGTAGCTTAAAAAATTAAAAGAATAAAATGATCATTTTATATTTAGCCAACCCTTGCACAAAAAGTTGTCTCAGTCTCCAAAATTTTTAAACACAAGCCGTCCCATTTTAACATGGATATGCAACCATAAAACTTGTAGCATTAATAAGTAGTACAAATGAAAAAAGATTGATCCGTGTTTCACTAATGTTACGTTTAACATAAAAGTTAATGGTTATACATTGTTTGGGTAAAACAATTTTACCCATCTTAGAATGTCAATGCCTAACCTATATTATAAGATATCCATTAATGGTTTGATTATCCTAGTTTGACTTTTTTGTACAAATTTCCCTATAAAAAAAAAGTGTGGTTAAACTTGATGTCATTGATATACAGCCCAAATGAATGGAATTCTGGAGTGACAGCAGGGCTAACTACAAAGAATTGCTATGGTGAAACTACCCCAATTATTAGCACTGGAACATCATACCCTGGTGTGTACCCTGAACAGATGAGGGTTGTGGATATGGTAATCAGAGAAATGAGCAACCCTGCCTATCTTCTTGACATCACAATGCTATCAGCATATAGGAAGGATGCACACCCCTCAATTTATAGTGGTGATTTGAATCCTCAACAAAGAGCTAACCCTGACAACTCAGCAGATTGTAGCCACTGGTGTCTTCCTGGATTGCCAGATACTTGGAATCAACTATTCTACACTGCTTTGTTCTACTAAATTTTGTGGTTTGCTAGCTAACTAATTAACACATCTTCACTGTTTTTATGATTATTATTAGTAGGTAATGCATTTATTGCATTATAGCAGCAACTGCTTCATATGTAAAGATATGCTAATTGAATGAGAGAATTTTTTATTTGTTTTAAAATTTTTAGGAAGAAAAGTCTACCTTATCAAATGTAACCTATCAATTATGAAACCTCCACTTGGTCAATTCTTTGAAATTACATAAAGAGTTTTCTTTGTTCCATTAGTGTAAGCAGTAAATTGTAGTATACATTTCCAAAGTAAAAGAAAAGGTTTAGTACACTTTTTTTTGCTTTGTTTTGGAAATTAATTTCATGGATATGTAGTTCAAAATATGTTTGTGTTCTTGACCACTATAATGAGTATTTCTACGCTCATGACGAAATAAGAGAAAAGTAAAGCAAGCATGTTGATCCTAAAAACCTCAAGGTCCAGTACACAAATCTTTTGACATTAATCTAATATCCTCTTATAGAAGAATCTTATTAACACTCTACAAGGGTTTGTATGGGTGCAAAAAAAGTGGAACATAACCCCTATCTGTTAACAATGATCACTTGCAAATCAAGATACTATGACACTCGTCACACACCATTATGCAGGAAGCACTATCCTAGTTCAAACAACTTGTAACCATTACTCTCGTGTCACGATTGGATAGCTTTCAAACACTTGCACAAAGGGGAAAACATGAGAAAGAATAAGAAATTTTAACATTTTTTTTTTCAGTAAAAGAGTAAATAAAAACAAAATTCTAGATTTTAAAAAAATCAATTCACGCAATTAATTTAAATTAACTTTTTGCAGACATGTCAAGGGTGTAATTGAGTTAATTTTTCTCTTTCCTGTATATAGTTAGACCCTTGAATATGTTTTAATCCTTTGGTTAATATTTTAGGTTTTTCTAATTTTTCTTAAATAAATTTGATAACGATTCCGTATTTTCATTTTTATTTGTCCATTCATCTCTATTCAGGTCGTGATTCTTGTTTTAAGGCTTAATTATTTGTTCTGCTTCGGTGCTCATAAAACATAATAAGTAAACTTCATAGTCTCAAAAGTATACCTGTGGCTGGCTGGGCTACCCAGTAGTTCTATTTAAAACGTGTTCCACACTATCAAATGGGCTTATTTTTTGAACCAATCAGCCTATAAGGCCTAGTTGAACATTTTTTTTTATGTTGGGCTTTATTGTAAACTATAAGAAGCTCTCCAATCATTTTTGGTTCAAAAGTCCTACAATCATTTGTAGAAGTTAGCATATAAATAAATCTTCATGCTTACCAATGTCATGTTCCTTTTTATTTTTGTCTGCTGTAGCATAAAGAATATGCTTAAGTTATGCTAGTCAAGAATTTTGGTAATACACGGTATTGAGAAATAGTGGACCCTGTATTCAAATTTAATTGAAAAGAAACCCAAGTAAACAACATTTTTCTTGGAAAGCCAATACATTATGATAGTGTTCAGGTGACAGAAATTGAAAACAAAGACAAGTGGGATAGCACAACACTTAAGACAGCTAGGTAGGAACAGCCTTATCTATATGTTTCATTGCCTGGATAAAATACACATCAGGCAAAATTTTCATTAATGTTGACTAGTATAATATATATGTTGGTTCTTGGGCATCTAGTCCTTGCTCTAAATGGCAACTCCTAGGGGAGAAACTTTCATCTTGGGTATGATCTTCTCTGGTTCTACAGCCTTCACCTGCTCTCCATAAGCTGATGCATGCACTCCAAGTGCTGCTCTACCCGATGGATCAAGGTTGTTAGACCAAGCAGCATCCCACTCAACAGCTTTTGCTGTGCTACATGCAACACTTGGTCCTCCAGGAACAGTGAGCCTGGCTGAGTTCTACAAAACCAAACACGAATTTGAATCAGCCCTTGTTAAATCAACATGAATTATGTTGCCACCTAGTAACATATCTAGGTATGTTAGATTTAATTCAGGAAAAAACTTACATTCAGTTCTGTAAGTAACATTGTGTTTTTTTCTGATTAGAATTAAACTTTTACTTTAGTGATCTATGCAGATCATAATATCTAAGGAACTGGATATAAGGTTTATTCTTAAATTTTGATTGGAGAACAATACTAGTAACACCGATGAAACTAGACGCGTTTTGTTGTTAAATTTACCTGAGGGAAGAACCTCTCAAATATCATTCTATAGTAGTATGCTTCTTTGGTAGTTGGAGTGTTGAAGGGGAAAATGTTAGCAGCATTGAGCATCATTCTATCGGTCACCTATAGGAAAATTTCAAGAACCAATAATTAGCAATATGAAATGTCATGTCATGCCATGTCATGTCATGCATGATAACATGAGAAAAAATGGAATTAGAGATTTTATTGAAGTTTTACATGTTTTTCAGCATGGGCTTTAAGGCCATCAATCCAACCGTAGCCAACTCCATCACTGAATTGTTCTTTCTGCCTATACAAAATGTGCTGCACAAAATTTAACTCTTAATATGTTAGTTTAACAAATTAATTTTGAAAAGTTCTAAATACGTTGCTGCAAATCACATGGTACCTTTGGCAGATAAGGATGCTCTTCGTCATCAAAGGCCCTCCTCAATACCCATTTCTCAATCCTCCCTTCTTCTCGTTTAATCTGAAAAGATTAAGTAGTAAACCACTTTATAAAGTGTAACATTTTTTTAAAGTTATGACGCATTGCAATTTGCAACATTCTGCATCCATACCATTTTATACTCAGGATCAATGTTCATTGCAACTTTGATAAACTCTTTGTCCAAAAACGGTACTCTGGCTTCTAGGCCCCAAGCAAAGGTCGATTTATTGGCTCGCAAGCAATCATATTTGTGGAGTGCTTTAATCTGCATTAAAGAGGAAAGGAAAGCATCTATTAGCCCTTTTACTTCAACAATCCAAACACTTAAATTGTTCTGATATGATCAAGCATGATAACTCTATGACCTTGCGGCACGTTTCTTGGTGAAACTCTTCTTTGTTGGGTGCCTTGTGGAAATATAGATACCCTCCAAAGATCTCATCAGACCCTTCTCCAGAGATAACCCATTTGACTCCTAGTGACTTGATCTTACGAGACATAAGAAACATGGGAATGCTGGCTCTAATTGTGGTCACATCATATGTTTCAATGTGATAGATAACATCCTCAATGGCATCTATTCCATCCTGCATACACCATATATATAAAACATTTACTAGTTATGATTTTGTACATCAAAATTACCCCAAATTTTGAGCAGTAAAATACTATATCACACACATATATATACCTGAACAGTATAGTGAAACTCGTGGTGCACAGTTCCTATGTAGTCTGCTACTTCTTTTGCAGCCTTCAGGTCAGGTGCACCCTACTCAATATAAAATGACTAAAGATTAAGACAAAACTTCATGGTTTCTTTTTCATATTAGATAAACAAATCCACAAAATTTGCTAGAATATGTACACACACCTCAAGGCCTACACAGAAAGAGTGTAGTTTTGTTCCCCATTGCTTGGCAGCCTTTGTGCCAGCCAAGTAGCGAGCCGTTACAGCTGCAACCAATGAGGAGTCCAAACCTCCAGAGAGTAAAACACCAAAAGGCACATCAGTCATCAACCTTTTTGTCACAGCCTGCAATACCATTCACTATATCAGCTATGTTGAAATAAAAATTTATATGCAAAGGACATGGATAAACAACTTAATTAGTTTCCCTATTAAATAAAAGTTGACCACCTTAAAGCTTATTTGTAAATATCATAGAGAAGCTTGAGAGAAAGAACATGTTTGAATATAAGTTTAGAAGTGTTTTTAAAGATTTATCAACCGGAAAAAAACTTTTTATTTTCAATAGAAAAGTTCTGAAAAACGTTTCTAAGTTTATATCCAAACAAATTCTAGTTAAAATAACTTATTTTGAGAAGCTTCTTCTTGAAGTTTATAAGGGTACAAGCTAGTGTTATAAGTCCAAATAAGTTCTACAAAAGTTTTTCTAAAGCTTCCAAAGTAGATGTTGTTAGATAAACTTTCAATTACAATTATGTGATGAGTCTTCTATGAATCTTACCTTCTCAAAGGCATGCCTCAAAGCTAGAGGATCATAAGGGGCTGATGGAATAGCCTCAGAGAACCATGGAGGGTTGTACCATCTACGGAACCCTCTCTCTTTGCTAGAGTACAAGTGACCAGGTGGAAAAGACTCGAAATGTTCACAATCATCATTCAGCCCCTTCAATTCTGATGAAATCCAAACAGAGCCTGAACAGAGCATGCAAAATTTGTCACCAATTGTTCAATCCAATTCTCTCGTTTGAGTTCAAAAAGAATACATGAACTCAATTCAAAAGCAGGGCATATAAAATAACATTACCATCTAGTCCCCAACCAATGTATAAGGAAGTGACACCAATTGCATCCCGTGCCACTATAAAACTGTTGTCACGGGTATCCAGCAGAACAAATGAAAATATACCATCCAGCATGTCCACAAAGTTTTCTCCGTGCTCCTCATACTAAAATAACACCAACAAGAAGTCCAATCATGAGTAACAGCCATATTCTATATGATAAAAAGTATGGAAATTCTTATCAAGACTTGGAATAAGTATAGTTAACGAATAAAACAAAAAGTTTCTAAAATTTTCTTTTGGTTTGTATATATCTAGATGATGATCAGGCTAAAATTTGTTGAAAACTACTCATAAAGATAAAAGATGACTAACCAGATGAGCAATAACATCACAGTCACTTCCTGTACGGAAAGTGTGATTAGGCAATTGTTTCCTGAGTTCTTCATGATTATAGATCTCTCCATTCACCTGGATTTCAGTGGATGATTTTTAAAACGAGTCATAACTTATTGCAGTTAAATTGATAAGATTGGTAAATAAAAGCAACAAAAATTATGTTACTAATATTATTTTGGATCATATAGTTCTTAATTAGTCTCTACATAAAATATAATTATAGTTTAAAAAACTTAAATTCATGTTATGTAGTAATTGTTGAGGCTATAAAAATTCAATAGTTCTGATGTATATAATAATTTCTTGTTACTATGCGTTACGTTCGAGTTTTGTATATTACAACTTATGTATTACCATAACATAATAGTATGTGTAAATCATTGAATATCACAAGACTTACTGTAACAACAACAGATTTGTCTTCATTGAAGAGGGGTTGATCACCAGAAGCTGGATCAACTATGGCTAACCGTTGATGAGCCAAATAGTTATCACCAAATTGGTGGAGCCCACTCCAGTCAGGACCACGGTGCTTCAATCTGTGACATCAACAAACACAAAAACAAAACCATAAATGGTAAATTACAACGACTTATTCCAACTGCACTTTCTTAACTGACAACCCTTGAAAATTTTCCTTTTGCACTTTCAAGACCAATTAACTCCTTTTCATTACTAGTTTCCATCTTCTTTTCTTTTGTTGTACTTTTCTACCACAAAGTTGCCAACAATTTCATAGCAAGGTGGGCCCACATCCCACTTTGTTTATCTCAATAGTTAGTAATCTAAAAAAATAATTGTTTTTCTAGAAATCCACTTAACTTGTCAAAGCCCAAACATGTTTATCCTAAAATAATTCGTTAAATCTAAAAGATGGGCACCGGGCCCCAACATATAGCAATAATTATAATTTCAATTCTTACATATCTTGTTGGAAATATGACAACATTATTTGCTATATTAACACTTTATTATTTTTTTATTATATCATATTTCTTTCTATCTTTTTTTTTCTTCTCTTCTTAGCTATTAACTAAAAATTGGTGTCCCTAATTTTTTTTCCTAAAAGAGACCACCATGACAGTTAAAACAAAGAGACAAATCATAAGCCCCACACATATTATAACCACCGTTTTGATGGTTTTTCCGGCCTCCTTTTAGTATATAAAATATATAATAATAATAATAACAACAACTTTTCCAGTTGATTAAACTATATTTCAGTATATTAGTTACTAAAGATACTGTTTTACCATCATGATGAATTTTCCACTCTTCATTCTCCACACCACACCATCACTCAATTCTTAAATATTATCATATAAATTAAAAAAAAAAAAAAAACTCTAGTGGGGAAGAGTTTGAGCATGGAAAATATGAAACTCTGAATACAAACATCAAAGTTAAGTAAAGGGTATTTGAAAAGAAAGAAATTCTTGAATTCTTGCTAACTTGTTTTTTTCTTTGACTTTGGTAAATATATGTGTTTAAGAATAAGACAAGGAGAGAATCATTGCCTGCGAGAAAGCTGAAGGACACGGACCCTTTTGGCTTGAGAGGAATCAGAGCAACCAAGCACAGCTAGTATGCCACACATTGTGACACAATATTATTATGTGAAGTATGATCAAGAGAAGTGAGTTTTGGAAGCAAAAAAAGAGAAAAGAGAAAGTGAAATGTGCAAAATGAGAAGATATAGAAAGGAAGAAGGTAATAATGAGAAACGAAGATTCAGGAGTAACAGAGGGAAGGGACAACACGTACAAGTGTTACAAGTTGAAAGAGTTAAGTGCTCCACATAACATGCTACACGTATTTATACGCGGAGGCTGGAGGCAAAGCGGTGTCGTTTTGTCTGACGTCGCTATCCACGAAGAGTTCACCGGCTAACCGCTGGTCCCGCTCGCTCACACCGGGACCACCGCCTCTTTCGTCTTGCGTCGCGCCACGTGGTGTGACGTGGTTTGCTATGGCATATTTTTGTCACTTCATTTAATTATTAGCATTATATTATTACACATTTATTTTATTTTATTATTTGATTCTTTTTCTTTTTTGTGCCCAGCGATTTGCTGCTTCCCGTTTTGTCTTGTCTCCCAATTCTAGAGAGAGATGATTATCGCTTTATCCTTTATACCTTTTTCTTTAATATTTTTTTTTGTTAAATTCTTTAAGGCTTTGTTTGGATTTGAGGATGGAAAAGGAAGAGTGAAAAAGGAAGGATTTAAAGGGAAAGTGAGTAGAAAGTGAGGTTGTTTGGATGGCAGAAAGTTACAGCAAACTCAATCTGGCTCTTTCGGTGATGCACGAGTGTTTTAAGCCCCTAAAGGAATCTTTGACTAGCAGAGATCTCGTGGAAGATGTTATATTCAGCAAATGGTCAGAAATTTTTATCCTTCAAGATATGATCATTAATGTTCTATTGTTGCTTGTTGTATGTGTTATATACTAATGGATTTGTTTACATATACCTTATTTACTTTGTCTATAATCATGATATCTGTGCTTCAGAACATTTCAGCTCAGAGCTTAACCGATTAAATTTCCAGGGTTTCTATACTGTGCTACTTGAGAGAAATGAAGAACTGATCAGTGTTGCAACTGTTAGGTGAGTATAGGATCTTTTACTATCAAGTATTAGGCTTTTCTTGATTGTATGAATACATGTTCTATTTGAGTTGTTTTTTATGTTTTGTCATGTTGCGGATGGTCATATTTCATTTGCTATGTCAATCTGTTAGGGTCTATGGGAAGAAGGTAGTAGAAGTACCTCTTGTTGGTACCAGATTACAATATCGTCGACATGGAATGTGCCATATCTTAATTAATGAGCTTGAAAAGGTAATCCACAAAACACACATTTGTCCTTTTTTATTCTCTTTTACCTTAGTTGTAAGCCTTTTTTTAGCCAATAATTAGTATAGTATACCACTATAACTGCTCAGCGGCCACCCCTATAAATGGTATATGATAGCTGCATTGTAGACACGAGCTTCTCACCTTTCTAATATAAGTACTTTTGGGCAATAACTCATAAACCCTATTGTTAAAGTCATTTTTGAAGTTATTACTTTCTAACTTGTTACTTTTCTTTCTTCAAAAGCTCACACAATTAGGTGAGCCACACAAAGAGGATTGTAACTTTAATGTTTTCATTTGCAGAGTCACAACCAAAATGTGATGTATACCAAGTAGAAGAGATTGACGAAGGAAGGATAGTGGATCAAAAAATAGAGTAAAGTCTAACTTATGTCTATTTAGCGATTCAACAAGCATATTCAGAATGTGATTCTTCCATTCTACAATATAATATATAATTCTTCTATTTTAGTGTATTTATCATTTACGTAGGGTACAGGGATTCTTAGCAATTCTAATTCAAAGGAAGAATATAATATATAATATAGAGTTCTATGTCTAAAAGTGAAAATTTGGAATGTCAAACTCTGGCCCTTAACAAATATTTAAAACTATATATTTTCTAGATTCCTAAACTTGACAACTTGCAAGCAATGATAGAAGAATAAGTAATTTTTCTTTTTTATTCCCTTGTACCAGCAATGCTTTTGTTTACTGGTTGTTTTGGTTTAAGTACTCCACAAGTAAAAACTTGTAAAAATGGTTAATTTTATTTTATATAATTAATTATTAATATAAACCTTTCCTTGCAGGTGGTAGCCATCAGTTTGTAACCATTAAAAACTTTCCACGGAAAGAAAATAACTTACAAGAAAAGGTGAAATAACTTTTGTTTTCATTTTATTGTTAAGTCACCTTTATCCAACTCTTTTGTTTTTTAAAAAATTTCAGAAACACCTAAACCATACTATAGAGCCATATCAATGAAATTATTTTTGACTACCTTTCTTCATTTTTCATTTAGTTAATAATCCATTAATATTTTTCTTCACAATAAATTAAAAATTTTGTTTAGCAATGTTTATGTTGATGTGAACAGGTAGGTATAAATAAATTCCTTTTACTATTTATTTACCCTTGCACTGCCATCATGAACAAGTACAGAGCAACTTGTAAGAATGTTACATGCTTTAACAACAATATTTTATGTTATATTATATGCTTTCATACCTAGCTGTGAGAATGTTCTTCTGAGGTTATGATTAAACTTGGATTTAGTTTCTTTAATGTGAGGGACACCCTTTAAAGGATAAAATGTAAAGTTATCACCATTGATTAAAAAAAATCAATAAAATAGAACAGTTTTGTGATTTATTACCCAAGTACATGTATTTTATAACAATTTAGTTAAGAGATTTTCAATGGTGGCTAATACCCGGTTACAGAATTAACAGAGTAAAGAGATTTTGATTGCTTCAATTAGTGAGAAATCAAATCTGCTTGGTATTTGTCTAGTTCAACATGCACAAATTCATGCAGAAATAGTAAAATGCTTCTTACAAGAGTAAAAGTGCTTCATTGAATGAAAGGTTAAACAATTGTGGATCATTGAACAAGAAAAAAAATGAAAACCAATCACATGAGTTCTCAAGTTAAGCAAAAAAACCAGCAGAGCATAGAATATGTGCCCTCTTGCATCTTGAATTTCACCCTTAATTTCATTCTTATGCTTTCTGGAGGATATAAATCGAAGAATATAATTCAATTCCTTGATTTCTTAGTTATAAGTGAGATTTATTTTTGTTGTTGTTTTTGTTAAATTCTTGGTCTAATTTTATGGACAAACATTGGTATGTGTTAAGAGTTGTGTGATTGATACCTTTACTACTATGTTTTTGGGTTACAGATAACACTTTATATGGAGGTGCATATTATGGCTCTCACGTGATGCAGTACGGTGATGTAGGGTTCCACAATGATATTCTTTTCCTATATATGGCTACATCTTATTTTGTATTGTTATTGAAACTTGAGAGGTTGCTAGTAAACCTTTTTTCCCCTTGAATGTTTGGCCCTGAATGTTAAAACTATAAGAAAATAAAGCTTGTAATTTGATGGCGCATTTTATTTTGATTGACAATATTTGTCCATTATATATACAAAAAAAAAA